ACTCCAGAGCTTTCTAAGAGGGCTCTTTGATCCTTTTTTAGGTAAAGTTGCACAGGACCTGTAGTGTAAACAAACTGCTTGCCTCCAACTTTAAAGCCCTCACCAAGTCACTGCTGTGATGTTAGCCAAAAAAATGTTAGTGTTTTTGAATTCCAGCTAATATCAGCTGTCCAACATTTACTTTTGCTGAAAGGGATCCTATAGTAGAAGATTCGTTACTGGAATAGCAAATTCTGATGCAAATGTTTAAAAAGCTTGTAAAATTTTATATTTTGAGTGTCACACTGGGGTCACCTTAATAAAATGCCTATTTTTTTTTTGTTTGGCCAAAAAAATTTAATATTGAAAGTTGGTATAATTAATTACTGAAGCAAAGAGGAAATGCCATCTGGTTTTAGTTTTAGTCCAGCTCCTTCTCATATTATGGGTACAAACCAGCAAAGTGTGTCTTTGTTCACTGTCAAAACTGCTTGTGCAAAGACTGAATGGATAGGGGAGACAGAAGTCCTTCCTTTCTACCTAAGGCAATCCGCAGGATAAGAGACACAGTGTTCTGGCGAGGAAGTGTAAAAACACTTGATCTTACATTGGTTCTGGGATCATTGTGTTGTAACATTGAACCCCAAAAGGGATCCATAATTTAGGAACACACAAAATCCATTACAGTATTTTTGTTTCAGAAGTGCCAGTGTAGAGACTTTTCTTGTGACATTAACTATAAACACATGTTCGTTCTTTCAGAACAAGTCGAATGCACCTAGTGAGAGCAACCTTACCCTGCTCTGCAGCAGTGCTAATGATCAAGCAGAGTGGAACCTCGGTCAGGATGACAGTGTCCTCCATGGGAAGCAGCTCCCTCCATCGCCAAGGAAGCAAGTTTCTTCTGGTGGCCATAGAGAATGTCTCTCAAGGCTGGAAGAAGAAAGTAGTGACAAAACCTTTATTACTGACAAGATGGACACCACTCGTATGACATCCCCATCTCCAGCACAATCAAGTGCCCAGTTTGCTTCTCTAGAAAGTTTCAAAGCAGGCTATTCTTCCTGTAAGTATGCAAAGCGGAATGAAACACTAAGCAATACCTCAGAAGATCAGCTCCCAGCAAGTCTTGCTCAACATCCATCCATTCTAGTCCCTTGGGAGAAAGATGGGAAGAAAGGAAATGAAACTCCAGAAGAGGGTGGGCTTCTTCAAGAAGTGGTGTCATTATGTAAACTGAGTTCTGCTTTTCACTATGGTTTAAATATTTCAAAGGATAGCTTATCCAGCAGTAGCAGTGGAAATAAAACATAAGAAAACTATGAGAAGAGAAACTTGACTCCCATTAGAAGTTAAAGGGAGACTACTCAGGACTCCACATAACTACATATAACATGATAACCAAAAGATGAAAAAGGAGTAAAAGATCTTCGATTATAAAAATAATTCTCTTCAGTTGAGTATGCATTTCTGCCATTGGGACATCCGCTTCTATGTTTACCCAGTTCATTTGTTGGCTGTAGTTAGGTCCACAAAATGGAACTAAACGTATGAATGCACTCTTAAATCAGGTACTAGTTAGTCTCTGTGCTAAAAATACAGCAGGTGTATGGTGCTTCCTAGCATTTGCTTCCTCTAAGTGGCAGGAAAGGTATCACCTAACAGGTAACCAGGTTTTGAAGGTACTATATTAATCCCGTTAAGCATGAAATGAACCGAGCAATCTGATTTGTCTGAAATGTACAAATATTAATATTTGTAATGAATAATAATTGCCTTAATCTTTTGAGAAGAGGTTTAAATATCTTAGAAGATGAATGCAAATCTACAAAACAGCAATAATGATTTCCCATGGCAAGAATTTGCTTCAGCAAAGCGGGGTGGGGGGAAGAAACTTTTTTAGATTGAGGAGTTTCTTGTGAATATAACTTGGAACTTACTCCAAACTAGAACTGTGCCCTGTCTTCCAGACTTCAAAAAGGTAGCACATGCTTTTTTCTCTATTGTAAAGTACATGAAGTGCTGAATTATAATGTGACGTTTATTAACTTCTGTTTACAACTAAGACACTTTAAAGACATATTATCCGGTTTCCCTAGGTAAACTATTTCACCTAAAAATTTTCAGAAAGGGAAGTGTAAGTGGAATTGATAGACTTCTGTTATTTTTTATTTTCTACAGTTTAGTAGTGTTTGAAAACTAACTTGTGCCTCTTCTGAACTATTTTCTGTCCATTTTTAGTACCTACCTTTTTGAAGGTAGATTGAATTACTGTTGCCTAGAAATCACATTTAGTTAAATCATTAGAGTCATGATTGAAAATTACTTGGAACACTAGAAAACTAAAATTACCGGTTCAGCTTGAGACTACATATATCCAACTCTCATTTTAGCCAAGTTGAACAACCAAAAATCTCTTTCTAAATTCAGTGAAGGAGAGTAAATGGACTTGATGTATACTGTATTTAGAACAAGCATTTGTCCTCCTTCTGGCAGCGTTCCTGAGGAATATTTGGATATTTAAAGTCTGAAAATTCTTGCTGCTGTATGGAGCAGCTCTTTCCTTTTTTTTTTTTTGTTTATTTTTTAATGTTCCTCCCCTTTTCTTTTTCCACCTCTCCACCTTACCGGACATACATTGTCCTCCACAATAGCTTAGGACAGGAAAGGCATGAAGTGAGTTTCAGCAGATTGGAATTGTCATCTTTGAAGGATATTTGTGATGCGATTGGCAGAAGTAACAGATGGGTGTAAAATGAACTGTGCCTGAGAAGAATGCTCTCCTGCTCTTCTAAACTCATGTCAGAAACCTTTTTTCTTTCTTTCTCTCTTTGGCATGAATGGTTAGTCTTAGTCTCAGTATAGGCCTGAGTGAGCACGTTCATGAGATCAGTATTTGGATCAGATTGCACTTTAATATCTTAATAGTAGTTTGTAGCAAATTTTATTAGCAGTTGCCACATTGAGATTTATGAATGAATTTTCCTTCTAGCTAACACAAATGGAAAGGGGTTTTTTGGCTGCTTTATTACAAGGCAGCTGACCTAATGGAATGGATCGTTACAGAGGCAGTGTTTGATGCTTTACCAAAGAGATGCAGTAGAGTCAGACCTTGGTTTTGTTAATGCAAAAGTTTCAGTTTGTTCCAGAATGAGAAGGGCAGGGCGAGTACTTGTCACTGAGGATAAGGTTCCAGAATTATTTTTTTTTAATCAGTGCAATGAAGGTAAAAGGTGGTAAAAGTGCAAATCTTACAGAAATATCTGTCTGATTAGAGCATGAACATTCCTGAGGGCATCTGCAGTCTGCACTGCTGTAGAATCTCAGTATTCCAGAGTTAGAGGTGATATGTCCAGAGGTCTGTACTCCGAAGTATTTATCTATCCGATGGTTTCCTCTTATGTATCAACATGGTATGTAAGCTGGAAGTGGATTTTTTTTTTAATGACATGAAAATGTAATTTGGCAAAATATTTTGCACTACTAAAATCAAAAGTATCATAAAATATTTAAAATCTTAGCTGTAACCTTTCCAGGCGGGTCAGACCAGGTGGCTCAGGTACTGTTCAGATGAGAAAGCCACAGGGCAACCTCATACGTACTTGTTTAGAGGTGGTATTAATGACTCGGTAGAGGGCATTCTTCTCCTTTGCTGGTACTAAACATTAACCAAACGTAGTGCTGCTAAGCGTGTCTGAGAGAAGACAGGCAACACAAAGGTCTCTGTTCTTGTAGCACTTCTCACTCGTTCTCATTCATGTCCTTGCATTTTGTTAATGAGAATTTCAAGTTTCACCTTTCTTTTCCTCTGCATCTGACATGGTGTTTCTGTCCATGGTTCCATCTATGATGATGTTTTATTTTCTTCATGTATTAAAGATAATAAACAGTATTAATGTCTTAAGGGGAAAAATAGAAAAAATTCAGAAATGATGGCTATCATTACTTTCAAAACCATCAAACACATAAGTCCAGGAATGCTGCCAGAAAATGGTTTTCAGAAATGCCTCTCCGATGGAATAAATCTTACTGGCTTTACATGAGAGTTAGGCACTGAACTCCTATTATCGCATAGATTGTCCCATTCTCACCTTTGTGGGAAAAATATGGAAGCTGTGTGAGGCTGCTAATATTCTTGTAGTTATTATAAGGATCATAAAATTGAAAGTTTGATAGTGGAATCTTTCAAAATTGATGCATCGTGGT